TTTAAACGTATAAAAACACTGTGTTTGTACTTATAGTAGATAAAATATTTAGCCAGCTTCGTTACTTATTCGTCATTCAAAATTGAAGAAAATACACTCTTTAATTGTCGGACGAACCGAACTAGTTATTTCCAAACAAGCCTAACAAGCGAACAAGCGAACAAGCCACTGAAATTACGTTGAGCACGCATGGTATTGCTATAGCAAACATACGTTTGCTTCATCGGCACTCCCACCAAAAGTATATGATATAGCAAAGGCCTGACCGTCCTTGAAATTCACTTACGCCCTGTGACTCAAGGGTGCTCGTGGCAGTGTAGCCGAGTGGTTAGCATGTCAAGCTACCGTCCTGCACTGTCGCGGTTCGAATCCCGCCGAGGGTTCGAAACTGCAGTCCACCCAGGATGAGAACAACTTTTGAGAAAGCAAGGCTATGTGAAATTCAATGGAAACGTCAGCTCAAATCATATCATTGTGGGAAAATTCTACTACCAGTCCTTCATCACCTCAGACGAAATAGGGTGAATACATCTCACGCATGGTATGTTCATAGAAATTAGGACCAGACCTCTGTATACTTTAGCCTATACTGGCTAATAAAGACGCTGAATACTCTCAAACAGCAGTAAGAGTGGACCCAATTTTTAAAGAGATGTCCCATTGCCAGTCCGTCGTCCATCCTGAGTGCAAATCAGATACAAAACCAGTTTACTGGACGACTAGCAAGCTTTGTGAGATACCTGAAATATCTTTGGCGTCTTTATTTGATAAAAAAACAATAAGAAAAAGTGAAAGGTAAGCCAGCCTTGAACAAAATCTCATCAGCCCAATAGCTAAACTAGTGTATGCCATCACATCGACATACTAGAAAGTATGTACTAGAAAATAGCTTATTACCATTATCATAATGCAAAGGTTAGAGCTGGAAGCTCATTTATTAAGCCTTAGGTAAATAAAACGAATTACGATGGCCATTGTAGATAGTTTGATTTACTGAGAGTGAGCACGGCATTGGTTGGAAGAGAAATGAAGAATACTTTACTTATGGAGAAACAAAAATGAGAAAGGTCGGGTAATCAAATGACAATAGAATAGGGATGTTTTAAAAAATGCAAAGACGATGCAAATGGCCAGGTACCTTCTCGACTTTAATTTTAATGGGATTAGGATTGGCGTCAGAAATAGCTTTAGCAATTCGCTCGGCTATCTGAAAAGCGGTTTGCCTGTCTGGGCATCTTGAAGCTGGAAGCCAAATAAACAGACTGTCTGTATCGCCGTAAACGACACGAGTCTCACACGGCCAAGCTGTACGTGAGCAGCGAATGTCGGGCTGGTCACCAATCCCTGTACTGCAGAAATCAGAGGTAGCAGAGGAAGCAAATTCCGAAACAGTTGGAGGGTTGTTAACTAGATTGATGGCACGCTCTAGTGTTTCACGAGCTTTTGAAACGATACTATCACCGACCTGGCAAGATGGATAGTATAAAAAATGCAGGTGATAAATAGTGTAAACTAGAGGAGCACTGCATGAGGACAAATGCATGCATGACTTAATTAAGCAATTAATCCAAATAATAGAATAGGAAGGGCAAGAAAAAATACGGAGGAGAGAAAAATTGATAGGGGAATTTGAGCCATATGAAAATAAGTGCATCATAAGAGGCATCAACCTTCCTCACAAAGTCTAATCATCGAAAAATTACATACATCTGAGCCAAGACTTTTACAGTAACTCTGATTAAGTTAACTAATCACAAATTTAAATGATCAAAAATAAGTTTTAAATAGTATAGCTTTGTAGTAGGTAAGAAGGAATTCTAAAAAAATCTACCTAGGTTCAAAGACAGACATTACGGCTTGTATTTTGTATACAATGAAACTTGTAAATGAAATAACAGAAAGGTGGCATTTTAAGCACTTATAAATTTAACGACTTACATCAACACATGGCATTCGACCAGTGAAGCTGGCTGCCGTGTAGCCGAATATGACGTTAGAGAGTAGCTTAAGTCCCAATTGTCTGGCATTCAAAAGACGAGTTAATGCCTAGAGGATAACAAAAAGAGAAGAGTTTGTAAATAAAAATAGAATAGTACTATTGTTTCCCATTTTAATGTGCCAGACAGTTTATCAATACGCCTATAGTCGTTGTGATAGCAAAGTGATCCGGTACGATAGCAACTTATCATTATTTCACCAGCATCAAAATTGTGGATAAATCAGGGATTACAAAGATGAATACTATAGGAAAGGGTGTTCACTGCCTTTTTCGCTAAGGGTTAGTCAGTTAAGGTGGGCAGTGCAGACTCTTGAGCTGAAGAACAAACAATGCCTGAGTCCCATAATGCTCCCAACGAATTTGCAATTTGGAAGCAAACTCACCCAGTCTCATAAATACTTATAGAAATGACACAAGACAGTAAATTATTCCAAGCAAAAAACGAAGCATTTAAAAGCAACCCATATCCACTTTAAAGAAGCTTGGGAAAAATTAGTATTAGCTTAGTTTGATCTTGCTCTCACAATAGTCTTATTTACCGTTCTAGTAGGTGACAAGTTAGCTGATCGATAGCCCAGTATCATTTTGCCGACCAAATTGTCGGCGGAACATTTGGGAATTTATTAGGCCGACACGTAAGCACATAGGTAAAACAGTTATAAAACAGCAAGGGACGCAGAACCAAACATGTCCGAAGTATCTTAATGAATACGAAAAAGTTGGGGAGTTGAGATCAAATTAAGTTTAAAGAAGATGGCAAGTTAAACTTTCGAAATGTTCATGAAAGGCTTGTCAAGGCAGTAGAAGTAGTGACGACTGTCACCAAAGAAGTAGTGACCATACTTATCGGGGCTTAAATATTGTAATTTGATGCCAAAAACATATTCGTTAGCGGTAAAAATAAGGGCATCACAAATAAACTTCATCATCCGACAAAAATGCGTATGGCTCATACCCTGTCCTCTTTGTACAAAGCCATCGAAGCCTTGACCATAAGTCGAGTGGCGAGTAGATCTTTTAACATCCTGTAATGAAAAGTAAGAGCGCATATACATAAGAGTGTAAGGAATATACAAATATAAAATGATAAGGAGCAAAATAAAAATAAACGAAGCAAAGCACAAAAATAAATAATAGAGTATTAAACAGTGTCCATAAATATGAAATATACTCAACCTATTACATTTAAGGTGATAAGGGTAGTTAAATTTTTCTCACAATGATATGAATAGACCTTACGTTTCTATTGGATTTCATATAGCCTGTTTTACCAAAAGGTATTCTCATCCAAGCCGGAGCGGACTTCAGTTTTGCCCTCACCTAAACTGGTCTAATCAGCACCCCCAGAGATTAGAACCATGATAGTGCGGTGTACAATCTCG